TGTGTATAAGAGACAGGGACGGGACGGGACAGGACAACACAACACCCACTATTTTTGCACTTAAGTTTTATCAGGAAACACAGGAGTTCAGAAAAATTATTTTTATGTTGCTTTTGGATTGAGAGTCAAATTTTTTAACCAGTATCCAAAGTTGCATTCCTCCTATGTTACCCATTAAGGATAGGGTAACACTAACCACTGAAGCTTCTGGCAGGCTAAGAACTGAACCTGAGCTGCCCATAAGCAGCAGTGCCAGATGCTTATTCATCCTTTCCACTCACACTGGGTGACAAAAATTCGTTGTTATTAAAACTACCTATTAAAAACCATCTTTGGTTCAGGTATAACTGAAATTTTACCTACTCAAAAATTACGTTTTTTCAGTTTCCTAATGTGTGATTTTCTTAAAAAGGGAGGGGGAGAAGATGAATAAGATCTGAGCTAACCACAGTTTTATAGGGTCTGTGAACCTCCTATAGGTTCAGATACCAAGACAAAAGAACACTAGCAATTACTACTTCTTAAATATTGTTTTAATTTTTTGCTTCACAGCTGTAGTCACTAAACTCCACATTTCTGTGCTGCATAACAAGCTGCTATTATAGGAAGTAAAATACTCTAATTCAACACTCTGAGTTAGAGACTCATAATTAGATGAAGTGTTACCAAGATTCTTCTGTGTCTTAAGATATACAAGATCATTTGGCTTCATTATTCCTGATGTTTTTGTATGGTTCATATTATACAGGAGTATCAAGATATGAAAGGAGCCTTCTTAGTAACCAACTTTGAACAGCCTCCATCTCAACCCTTGTAACATTCTTCCACAAATTCCCAAAGGATGCCTTATAGCACTGAAGCAATCATTTCAGGTCATAAAAAGATAAAGAACTTTAACTTTTCATTTTTTTCCAGTGAGAAAGTGATTATTTATGGTCTTAAAATGAAAAGGACTTTGTACAAAAGGTCTGGAAAGATCTGGTTTTAATTACATATTTCAAAATTGAGTTATAAAAAACAATTCCACTGCTTATATTCAGTAAATATATTAAAAACTTAAGAGACCAGGAAACAAATAAGCAGACTAGTCTATAACTAACTCGGATGTTTTCAGGAAAAGCATGTCATGAACAATTTGTCCCTTGTGACTGAAAACAGAGGAAAAGGGACAAAGAAAATGAGTTTAAGCAAGAAACTGTAACACCCCTTTTGATCTTGCATGCAAGCTGAAAATGAGAAAAAGTTTCATTCAGTTTACAGCCTTATTTAAAGATCAAAACAAGCCAAGCAGCTTAAAGCCTTACTTTATTAAAAGAAGAGAAGCTATGCACAGTCAGAGTTAATTGAATGGGAAATGGGACATTCTTGCAGCTTTCCCAAAATGACAGAAATATCATTATTTATAAGATGTTCTGTATTCCACAGAAGACAAATAAGGTCCACTTTACAGAAGTTTTTTCCACAGCCTGCCATTTGTTTTCAAATCTTTGACCTCCCTGCTAACTTAAGATCTCCATGTTGATTTATAGTAATTTGCTAAATAAATTACATGTATGAACCAAAATCTTCTGGCCATTTAAAAATGGATACTGTACACAGTATATAGTGACAAGATCTTCAGAACAAAATTTGAAGACAAGTGGCTCAAGTGGATAAGGAAAGCCTTTTTTACCTACAAAATTTAAAATATCAGGGATAAAGTTCTGTTTGAATGTGTAAAGCTTTTGCTGAGCCTACATAAATTCTAATCTGTAACATATGTTTTTCTCAGCAAATGAATCCATTTTTCCCATTCCTCTGAAGATGCCACAGAGCTAACAAACATCCAAAACTCTGCTTAATGCAGAGGGAATATCAAAGTGTCATTCAGTCTTTTGAATACACTAATTTGACTACTCGTAAATCATATATTACTATGATTCATTGTATATTTGGCTCATCATTTAACAGTCCCCAACAAAATGTTAAACATCTGAAAATGCTTGAGGGCACAGTAGATAAACAATCAGAAGAGTACTTAATGGTAAACTTTGATTGAAAATGTCATCTATATCCTAACCATTTAGAGTATCTTAAAACACAATATATTACTCTGCTTTCAATTAAGTATCTCGTGCAACACAATTCATATAAGATCAGAGCTAATTTTGATCTTCAATTACATATGAAAGATCCAAAATCAGATTAGCTGTCTCCAGAGCTACTTGTAGTCCACTACACTTTGCAGCAAAACAGTCCAGTGTCAGAAAGTCAGCAACTTTTACTGAGGGCACTTTAGGGCAGCCCTGTATAACAGAAGAGCCAAACTGGCCTTGCAAAAGCCTCCAGTTGAGATTCTCAGTGTTACCATTAATCCCACAGCCACATTTTGAAACTACATCTGACCAATTAGAGACAGAGGGAAAACCTGATGGAACAAACCAACAGTGTCCATAAACCATGTCTGTAAGAACTTCTCCATCATCATGTTTCAGAGAGCAAGCTACAGACTCCAGGGCACGGCAAAAACCATCAGCAACCAATTGGTATTGTGCCTGAGAACAATCTATATCCTTAAGACTGCTGGTGGACAGACTAACACTCTAAAGAAAAAAACAAAACCAGGAAAACAAAGTTAGAACACTGTTTTACAGAAATAATTTTAACCAAATATATTTCATACTGTTGCTTTTTTCAAAACAGATGGTTCAGTCCTAAAAAAGTTGTTCATGTGATGATTATTCCACAATAGGAAAGATTTCTAGACAAGTCAAAGCTGAGTTCTGCACAATTATCTTTCAACATAAAAATTCTACACATTTTTATTTTAACACTTAAAATAGATGCACTTGCTATAATATATACCTAAAGACTAACAAGTACAAATACAGTATTTCCAAATCTGAAAGATGTAATTAGCACTAAGTGCTTCAAACACCCTTTTGTTTTATATTACTAGTTAGACAGCAAAAATGCAATATTAATCTAGACAAGTGTTTTAACTGCAGCAGTGATTCTACAAAAATTCTTGTTTTCCAAGTGTATCAAGCAGCTTTAAAAACCCTTATGTCTTACATACCTTGTGTCTTACATATGAAGCCAGGTGAGTTTCTGTACAGCCACCTCCTAATAATGCCAAAGGTTCCTTGATTGTTAACTGTAACACATGCTCTGCAGTTTCACAGGCACGCTGAAAACCATATGAATTTGTCATTAGACATACCATGATTAATAGGTTTTGCCCCCACTGAAAAAAACCTACCAGAATAAAATTTTCAGTAGTTTCTGGTACAGAGTTCATAAACTTGAATTACATCTGGATACGAAGCTGCTGAGTGGTTTCCAAAACCATATTCACTTAAGAAACTGTATTTGTCCACACTCATATGGAAAAGCAGAAATAAAAAAGCTGTATTTTATTCCTTCTTCTTGCAAAACACTGTTATATATAAAAAGTCAATCAGTATCAGTGACATTTCTAGGGTAACTATTCAATGCAAAACTATGCTTGACTGCCATTGCAGGTATTGCTGCTGGCCTTGCGCTGGGGAATTTTTTCTTTATGCTCTTATAAACCAAGTAATGAGCATGAAAATGTTTATCCAGCACTGGCCTCAAGAACAGGTAAAAAAAAATGCTTCTGCTTCTAAACAATTTCCCATATTAAAATAGGGGCATTATATGAACATGAGCACAAGGATTTTGAGATTCTGGAAACAAAGAGTGTTTCTGAATTGCTTTCCTGAAATTGTATACCTAAGCTCTAACTAAACTCCATTTATGTACTGAAAAATCACTTCTCTAAACTCACTGTATCTGTATTTTTCATTACTTTTTTTCCATTAAAAACATGACTTCTCAAGAAAGATTTCAAGAAAATTTGCCTACCTTCAATTCATCCCATGCTGTTTCATTTCTGTTACAGAGTATTAAGCTGCAGATAACTGTCTCCTTAGGAATTAGATGCACAAAATGTTTTGAGGCAAAACTCTCAAGGCACACGTCTTTCAAACTGCCATAACAACTAGGAGACAACAAATGTATGGAAGCTATAGGCTTTGAACCTGTCCAATTAAGAAAAGCAGAGAACAGTATGTATTACTGTCATCAAAACAGCTATCTACTGCATCCCATAAAGCATTTCATTCTTTCCTCTTGGCTTTTTAAATTATATGTATTCTTCAATACCTAGCTTTTCAATCTACACAGGAAACTACAAACAGAAATCACCTTTTTTAATTGCAAAACTTAGTGATAGTTTAAGATTAAAGTAGTAATTGTTTTTTTTAGCAGTTTGAAAATAATCTACATTTGCAAACAGTTGCTCTAACTGGATACTCCTCATGCAGTTATCAGTAATCACATGTGCAGTATGTCATCATTAGAGCCTGCAGAAGACCAATCTCACCTAAAAATCATTTTCAGACTAGAAAAGACCAACTCTTGCTCAGCTGCAAAGGCAGGATAGAGACAGAAGAGAATTCTTACTATTCAGTGTCATCAACCTAGATCAGTTTTCATTATGAGGTGAACACTCGCTTGTTACCTGTCATCCGACTCAGGGGTTCCATCAGAGAGAGCCCAGCTCTGTCCACCACGATGACATGGTTCTCTTTTAGATAGTGCTTCAAGGATGGATGGATAACTTTCTGGCACACTACAAGGCCAACCTCATCATTAACCAGCTGCTTTCCTACAGTAAGCAACTGATCCAGCTCTGACATTTCTAGAGAAATTCCCTGATGGACTGTTATAGTTCCTTCTTCGTGGTTGAAGCAGTCTCCTGACATGGACACACAGAAAACTGCTATCTTGATCATGCTGGAACAAGTTTTTTTGACAGTAAGGGGTTTTACCAGTTGAATTTCTGGTGTTTCTATCAGTAGTCCAGGAAGAACCGTAGAATCCGCAACTCTTCCACCTTTCACAGGTACTATTACACACTTTCCTAAAACAGCATCAGTCTCAACATGACATGGAACAGTAAACATAAAAGCCTTTAAAATCACCATGGTGAGATGATCAACTTCTGATTTATTAAGCATGCAGGCAGGTTTACTTGTTAATACGCTACGTACCAAACAAAGAAGATTCTCAACACTGCTAAAATCTACAGCTACTCGGCAGCCACAGGCCTCAGATTTGAGGTAGTCCATACATAAACCCAAGAGATGTTTGCTTATTTTAATGACAGTGCAAGATGCAACATTTAGGCTTTTCAAGTTTTCAATCAAGCTACAGCAAAGAATGGCAGTAAATAAGCCACAGTCACTGAAGCGGGATATATGGTTCTGTACAGAGGCTGCCAAAACACTTAACACAGGATGACTGACAGAAAGACTACTGAGTATTGCTGAAGATTGTGAAGTTGTACAAACATAGCCTCCCACACCATTGTGGAGATGTTTGAGTCTACCAGCAGGACCATAGCAAGATCTTAATATTCCACTCAGCAGAGACAGTGAGTGACTAACTTTGTCTTTAGTTAAAGGTTCACTAATAAATAAGGGAGGCTTTTTAGCTTCAAGACGAGACATTTTCAAAGTAAGATTTTAATTCTGGCCAACAAAACAGATTTTTTTCACTTGGATCTATAATTCATAGCACTTCTAAAATTTGAAGTAGTACATTCAAATTCTTTGCAGGTAAGGATTATTATTTTAAATGTGAAGCAGTACATATAGTATGAGAACAACACTTCTGTGACTTCTCATGATCTCTAAATCCTACTGTGAAATTGTTACATAATGACAGCCATAAGCTATTTCATTCATGACGATCTTTTGTAGCTTCTGAATGTGATCGAACAGATTTTTTAGCAACAAAGTTTACGAGCATGCTTCCAAAATGGACCCCTATAAGTGACAGTCCTGCCACTAGGAGAAAGTTCTTTCTGCTCCAGCTAGCTTTCCTCATCTCTTCCTCTGGCAACACCCACAGATGAAAAGCTTAAAAGCTAGTTATACCTACAATAAAAAACAGAAAGGTATTAGGATAATCTTATGACAACATTGCACAGCTCAAATCACAATTTTATTTTTCACAAAAACTCACATGACTAATACTGAATCACAGAATCACTTAGATTGGAGAAGGCCTTTAAAATTGAGTCCAGCCGTTAACCTAACACTGCCAAGTCTATCACTAAAACATGTCCCTAAGCATTGCAGCTACAGGTCTTTTAAATATCTCCACAGATGGTGGTTCCACCACTGCCCTGGGCAGCCTGTTCTAAGGCTTGACAATCCTTTCAGTGAAGAATTTTTTCCTAATATCCAGTCTAAACCTCCCCTGGCACAAGCTGAGGTTGTTTCCTCTTGTACCATCACTTGTTACTTGGGAGAAAAAAAAAAAACACGCACAAAAAACCCAACAGTCACCCTGCCACAACCTCCTTTCAGGGAGTTGTAGAGGGCAATGAAGTCTCCCCTCAGCCTCCTCCAGATTAAACCTCCCCAGTTCCCTCAGCTGCTCCCCATCAGACCTGTGCTCCAGACCCTGCACCAGCTCCATTGCTCTGGACACGCTCGAGTCATTCAATGGCCTTTTTGAAGTGAGGGGCCCAAAACTGAACCCAGACATCGAGGTGCGGCCTCACCAGTGCCAAATACAGGGGCAAGATCCCTTCCCTATCCCTGCTGGCCACACTATTGCTGATACAAACCAGGATGCTGTTGGCCTTCTTGGCCACCTGGGCACACTGCTGGCTCATGTTCATCTGGCTGTGAACCAACATCCCCAGGTTGTTTTTTGCCAAACATTTTCCAGCCACTCTTCCCCAAGCCTGTAGCACTGCAGGGGGTTGTTGTGACCCAAGCACAGAACCCAGACCTGAGTCTAATGAACCTCATAGTTGACCTGTATATGCTATAATGCTTTTTAACTGAAAAAACCCTATTATATATAAAGGTTTGTTAACAACTTCAATTCTGACCATGAGTTTATACACTGTTTTACCTGTAGGTCTATAAACAACAGGCCAAAAGTGCCCTGAATTATGTTAAAGACTACAGTGATGTTAACCTGTTTTTACCGGAGAACAATCAGCACTGCTTCCCAGGCAACCACTTCAGAAACAAAAGCTTTATTTAATGTTCATACAACTTCAAAAAAAAAATCTTTGCCTCAAAGAAAAGTTTCTAACTTCAAGATGCCCAACATACAATTATTTCTTTTTCAGTTCGTAAGCAGTTCAAAACTTAAAGGGGTATTTTATTTACATATGCAGGTAATCTCTACAGTATTTAAGCTTCTCTCATACTTAATTTTGTTTGTTTTCTATTGTAATTACCACCTCTACTAACAACACAGAATTTATTACTATGTAAAGTCACAATTATTTCTGGGCAGTTTTGAACTTTGAAGAGCACTCTTGCAAAACCAGTCAATCATGAGATTTTGACTGTTGTCTTGAAGTTACTATTTTCAAGACCTGTAATACCATCACTTAATTGATCCTATCACATCGGATTTAGCAGTAGTTTTTAAGATGTATGATGCATTTTTTGGGCCATGTAACTACCAAATTAACTTTGTTACAAAAAAGAATAAATAAAACTCTGTAAGACTAAAGCTTGAACAGGAAGACTATCTGTTAGAAAATTCTCATTTAATTGACTCAGCTTCTGCCTCAAACATACAGACACAACTAATTAGGCAACTTACCCACAATACATATCACAAATGCTATTTTTCTTTATTTTTGTGATCCCTTTGCATCACATATGCCACAATCTCAGGTTCTGGAACAAAGTCCTCTGTCTTCACTTGAAAAATAGGACTGGACTTGATATAAAACCAGCCCCAGTGCACCAGCCCAAGGCTAGGTATCATAACAATCAGAACTTTGTAGTCCTTCCAGATGGTTTTAAGACCCATTGCAAAATGGCATCTACCTAGATAAAGATAATTCATTATTTTAAATATATTTAACCTTTTTTTTACTCTATAATAATAGCACAGAAAGGATGAACCTTATGTTAACAGCTTTAATTACAGTGCAGATGATTAAAACACAAAATGACACAAGAAATCTTTGTGAACTTCAAAAAAACCCTATAAAAATAACCTCAATTCAGACATCTCAAAATGTTAATTGCTGCATTTGCTTCAAGCTTTAGCATGCTAAGTCTTAAAGCTTTACTAGTTTATGTTCACCTAATTATAAATTTTACTGCTTCAGATGGTAAGTATTTGAAGTCTAAAACAAAGCAGTTTCAAAATGAATCTTCCCCCCCCCAGTTAATAAAATTAAATTACTAAGCTCCTAACAGAATATGGAGCTTTTAACTTACAGGCCAAACAAGCTGCAATGCTTCTGACATCACTTTTATGTTGCCCAGAGTAGCAGCTATGCCCTTAATTATCAGAGGCTATAACAGTATCAATACTAATACAGTAAATTTAACCTTATTTTGAAAGAATGTGCAAAAGTCTACTTTCTACAGGACTGCGTTAAGAAGTACCTAACATAGGAAAAAAGGTGTGTATATTCAGCTTTCATATCAAATAACTCGGTTTAAATAGCTGTAAAGGTACAACTCAGAGTAAGTGTTCTTACACCTGTCTAACTTCATTCACCTAAAAGAAGTAATATGCACTACTAAACAGGCCTGACCACGCTGTGGAGATTTCACAGCTTCACGCCACTCTGCATACAAGGTAAAGCAGACTCCAAAGTCCCAGAGCGGGCCGGTAGGCGTGAGGCAGACGCACTCGGGCTGGGAAGACGCTGAAACGAACTGCTACGGCCCAGCCCAAGCAGCCCATTCTCTGCCGGGCGGGCCGGCCGCAGGGAACCCACCGCCCTCGGTCACGCCGCGACGTGTTTCCAGGCGATCTCCTCTCTATACCTCGCATCCCAACAACCTCGCAGGGCGGACACCTGAGGGGGGGGGGGGAAGGAGCGGCGGCTCCCCTCAGACCAGAGACGGCTGAGGAGGACCGGCACGACGGGAGGAACCGGGGTACCTGAAGCTCCTCTCCCTTTTCCTCACGCAGAAAGCGGCTGCAGATGAGTAAAACGCTACCCTCCTGGTGCTCACCTCGGCTCTCACCCCAGGGAGGCGAAAAGAGAACGAGTCCGCCAGCACCTTAGGGAAGAGGAGGGGGGACGGGAGGGAGACGATACACGGGCCGCAAGGCCCCCCCCCGCCTTTCCCTGCACCTTTAACCCCCCGACGGCAGGAAGTGGCCTGGCGCAACCCGGAAGTGCTGTTCGCGCCGTTTCTCCATTGGCTAATCCTCGTATCACGTGTCCACGGTGCGCGCGCGGGGCCGAGGTTACACCTCCCGCCGTCAGCGTACGGTTGCCCCGGCGGCCATTTTGCGTTCGGGCAAGGTCAGTCGTTCAGCCTCTGGCCATTTTGGATAGGGGAGAAGAAGCTCGTGCTCGGCAGCCATCTTACTTGGGGGCAGCGGAGCCGTTAGAACCGTTGGAGGCAGGCGCGGCACCGGCAGGAGGTACGGCACGCCTGCGACTGCAGCGGCGGTGGCGGCCGCAGCGTTGCTGCTGCCCGGCTGGGACCCTCAGCCGGGAGGTTCTCGGTGGGAGCGGCTAAGCTTCGGTTTTCCCTTTCGCTTTTCTTCGTAGATAAACGTATGAGGCGATGTCCTGGGGGAGCTGCTGTGGTGGCGGCACCAGCCGCCTCCCTCAGGCGCCGCCCTTCGCGTCAGCACCCCCTCCCGGTCCGGTGAGGTGCGAGCCTCTTAAAAGCACCGGCTAGGCTTAAAAATACGGGCATCTCTGATTTTTCCGCCTTAAGTTCTATTGCAGTCACTCCGCATTGCTTCTGTGCGTGCCTGAGCCTTCCAGCAGGCTCTGAGCAAAATCAATTGAAGCAAACTTTGTTACCTGACCTCTTCTTCATTTTTTTTTTTTTTGCTTAGTGTTTCTATTCTGTACCTTTTCTGTGTTCACTCCTCTCCTGTCTTCCTCTACACCTGCAGTCGTTGTCAAGAATAGTTAGCATTATATTCATGTGTGAATGGGGCAGTTTAATTTTGCGCATAGTTGCAGAGTTTACAACTGTCGCGCCCCCCCCCCCAAAAAAAAAAAAAAAAAAAGTTTTTAATGCCTACTTTCTGTGCAGAGACGAGTATAACTTTAAAAAAAAAAAATTTTGTGGAACAGCCGAATGCAGTCTTTGTTGCATTCGGCTGTTCTGCAAAACTTAAAAAGGCTTTCAGCAATATAAAAATGTAGTAGCCAGCACCTGTCTGTAATAAGGGCTCTGATATTCCTTAGAATCTCTCATTCCTCTAGTTCAATGCAGTTGCGTGTTGAATGGGTAGCATTTTTGAAAGTGAATTGTTGAACTTTAAAGATAAATTGGCAGTTCATGAATGAATGAAGGAACGTAAATAACAATGAGCTAAAAATCTGCTAACTTTGTTGGAAGGATAGTTTCCAGAGGTTGAGTGGAGGAATTGGCAACATTGGACCTAAAAATTGTGAACCTGCAAGATTCTGATATGTCTCTTCAGAACTAGAAATACTAAATATGTGAGTAGCTGAGTATTACACTGCTCATCCCAAGTTTAGGATCTGCTCTCAGAAACTGAAGAGTGATGGGTCTGGGCTGGGCAGCATTTGATTCTGATAGTGAAGGACTGGAAATTTCAGAAGAACTTTCTTATATATTGTCGTAGTTAATTTTGAACTACAAATATAGTTAATTAATTAGCATTTGTATTTTTGGTTCTGCTTTTTTCAGGTGCCCACCTCTCCCCACACATGGTAAAGACACCCAAAATGGGCATTGTATGAATAGTTTGCAGCTGTTGTGTTAGAAGCTGCTGTCTTCAAGTGGGCATGTGTGGCAGGATATTTCAGATCCTCATCCCTGCTGGGTTCACATTCCCTCACCACAGGAAGCTATTTCTTTACTAAGGTAAGATGCTGTGCATCAGCTGGCAGAAAACACTTCAGCTTGCTCTCTGGGAGTCCACGTTTCTTGGCTTCTCCTGGGTGTCTACTTAACGTCAAATTTAGGAAAGAAAGATACTTTGCTGCATTTTTTTTGAAGTGTGTCTCAGTGTAGCTACAGGAAACCTATGTCTTTAGATCATGTTTTCTGGTATAGGCTATCAAAAATTTAGATGTTGAAATACTACAGATATCAAGACTTTTTTTTAGATATATAAATATATGTACCTTCTGAGAGAACTTTTTCTGCCTTGTTTGTTTATCTTCACATTTCTTTATGCACAGTTTCCTTTAGAGGTTTGCATTATGTTGCAACAGATACGATATTCCATGAGATGGATTCTTGTTACCAGAGAGTAGCAATTGTAATGGATTTTTTTTCAGAACAGAAAATGGCTAAGTATTTTGGGGCTTGTTGGCTTTTTATTTCTTGTACAAATGATGGGTGTTATTCCTCATTTTCTGATGTCTTAGTGTTGGGTGGTTTTTAATCCATGACAGTTCAGTGGCTTTCCTGATGGTTCACGTTAAGTGTATTATTTTTTGTTTCTAAGGATTTGCTTGCATTTACTCTGCCTGCTCTATTTCCTTTGTCTTATCTATATGGTCAATGCAAAGAATGGGGTATTGGCAAACTCCCAAAGTTAGCTTACTCCTGTGAAGAGCAAATTGAACCAAAGATAACTTTTCTTGTGCATCTTTTTTCTTTTTTCTTTTTTTTTTGTTTTCGTCTATTATTTTGTAAATTGGATTTTGAGAGGATTTCTGCCTGCCAGCAGTCCTTCTCACATCAGTAGTTGCAGTCTTGTTGCAACAGTAGTATTCTGGGTGGCAAATTCTTATAAAAAAGAGACTTGTGATGCTGGGATAAGTTCAGCTGTTTCATCCAGGTGTTTTGTTCTCAGACAGGACACGAACATTTGGAGAAGAGATGATGCTCTGGCATGTTTTGTTGCAACTCTTCATATTATTGCTATTCTAAGGATTAATGATAAAACATTAGCAGTTTAAATATTCTTCAGATCACAGGCCTGCAGCACCATTGTGACTTGTATACCGTATGCAGCTGGAAAATTACATGCAGTCTAGGTAAACTATATTCCTGGAAGCATGAGGCAATGTACCTTGTGCTCTACCATATCCCAAGGTACAGGTAATTCTGTGTAAATGTTAGTTGTGTTCAATATTGTCATTGCTTTTGTAGAAGCTCTTAGTTGATGGTGTGTTCCACAGCAAATTGTAATTACAGATTTCCTAACTTCAGGTTATGGTTCTAGCTGCTTGGAGAAGAGACTATAGCATTTAACACTCTCCTGGTTTTTGGTGTTTCTTGCCTACTGTTTTTCTTTTTTTAATTATTTTTTTTCTTTTTCTTGAGGTAGGAGGTAGGGATCATTAGTAAAGCCTTTCATTAAAGTTAAAAGCCTGATCCTGAAATGCTGTTGAAACGTGTTTGTTTGTTTTGTTAAGAGAATCTGAGTCATACATGCCCAGGTTCTGTGGTAGTTTTAAAAGGCTGTGATACATTATTATTTGCTTTTTGTTCTTACATGATGGGGTGAGTAGTCCTTCCTTGGAGTTCTTGAACACCAAGAATACAATCTTGTACACTGTTTGAAGGAACTGAGAAGCACAGTTGGTTTTCACTTCATGGCTGCTATTTCCCTGTAACATCTCTTCTGACCTAGTTCTAGCAGCTGCTGTCAAGAATTTCTGAGTTTTATCCCTTACTAGGATTCTTCTCACAGCTGTTCTACTATGTTTACTTCTATAAAGTAGCACCTTCCTATCTGACAGTATTGAATAAGATGTCACAAGTGGTCCAGAGCACTGTTTGTTACATTGTGTTTCTTGAAATTACTATCGATAGTTTACAGATTTTATTCCAGTAAAAGAGAATGGTTTCCGGGGCTGTTTTGTGCAGGGGAGAATGATAGTCGTGTGGCATAAAGCATGGTGTTCCAGCTTCTGTCTGCATGACTTACTTGAAGATTCAATTTGCTCTACATAACTTTCTGATTGCTGTTACTGTGCAGCTGAGAAAAGCTATAACTTTGAGCTTTTTCAGAACATAGTTGAAATATTTTATTAACTATATTCATGTTAACTTTCGGTAGTTCCAGAACATTTCTTAGTTCAAACTCATTTTAACCTGGTTACAGTAACAACTGTGTTACTTCTCAGTGTTTACAATCCTTTTACTATTTCTGTTTCTTACTACTTAGATATTGATATCAAATACTCAAAAAAAAAAAAAAATCAGTGAGAGTTTTCTTTGAGGCAGTATATGAAATTGTGCCCTTGTTACTTTCACATTTTCTCATTGTTTTGAAATCTTGGGTCTGCACTGCATAGAAGTTCAAAATGATTACTGTTGAATTGTAAGATTAAAATTATCTATGCTATACAGTGTGGTTGTAAAGTGGGTCTTGTTTTGCGCTTTTTTGATGTTAAATAAGGATAACGACTGCCTTTTGAAATCTGTAATTATAGTGCCTGATAGAGACACATATCACCAACCTAACTTGTGTCATGAAATTTTGACAGCTCTGTCACAGTACTTTACAATAACTTGAAGTATGGTGTGAGAAATGGGTATGTCTTCCTGTGTTCTTATTTTCCTATTCCATCTCTTAATAAGAGGAGCAAACCTAGTCAATTTTCTGACAGACCAATCCTTTAGGAAACTTTAGAGTGTAAAAGGCAGCTCTATCCTTCCTGTAGGTTCTGTTCTGGTTTGTTTATTGTAGGCAGCAGCCACTGACAGTTGTTTTTTTTTCTTGATTTTGAAGCTTGAACTGTATTATTAGGGTACCCTATCTTCTACTGGTGTACCAATACCCTTGTTCACCTGGTTTTCTGTCCAGTCCATGTCTCTTCCTTGTCTGTTGCCTCTGTTCCTCTCCTGTGTGAAACCAAAATGTATTTAAATTTTTTATTCCTGGGTTTTTGTACATATTAATTTGGTACCATAGGGCCCATGCCATGTCACTTCTGAATCCCAACACTGTGGGGCCTATCTGGAAGGGTTTTTGTGAATTTAAACTAATTTTTTACCTTTTGACACGTGGAGAATGATGAACTTCCCCAGTAGTGCTGTGACCTGTTGTCAGGTCAGAAAAAAAAAAAAGTAGTTAAACTGAAATCAGTGAGGAAGGCAACTAGATGTGGTTTGGCTTGCAAGCCATCCTGAAGCTTGTAGTCATTTGAGTGAGATACAGTGTTCTTCCAAGGGGTAGGGGGGAAAAACTTCACAATTAGTTGAAGGTTTCTTCTTTCCCCCAAGGGAGGGTGCATTTAACTTCCAGCATGAATTAGTGCTTCCTGAGTTACTTGAAGTGGTCTGAGGCAGAGGCAAGGTTTATGCAGCTAAATGTATTTCACTCAGTATCCCCAATTAAGCAATCTAAATCCTGTTTGGGGGTAAGCAAGAGAAGAGGATGTCCAAAGTTCACTTTACTTTTGTGCAACCACAGTAATGCTCAGGTGACGTTACTTCATGCATGCAGTAGTCTAAAATTTTAAATAAACTTAATGTATGTATATATATATATGCATACCAGGTGCATCAGAAGCCATAGTTTCTTATTAAAAAAAAAAAAAAAGTGACTGTGCTTTGTTCTTGAACTGGTTTAAACTCTGATACTGATTATCAGAATTGCAGGTAGTGAATGGGTGTCTCGATTTCTCGATTCTGAAGTTCGCTTACTGCTGCTTGGTCTGAAAGCAAATTTTGAAATTTGTGTAGTGTTGCTGAGCCCCTAGTAAGACAACATGATGGATGATGCTATTTCTGTAGGGCCATTGTGGTATGTAAGCTGTTGTGAGCTCCCTAGCTAAATAGAAATGGAGTATCCACAAGATAGGAAGGGATGAACTGTACACAGAGTGGTTTGAGGACTTTTTTGACTAGGGCAGATATTATTTCATGTATTAAGATTGTTTTTTCATGAGAACAATACCTTTTTTAATCTTGTGTGTTTTCTTCCCTTTTTTCTTCTTTTTTCTTTAAGCTATGTGAAGGGCTTTATGTGAAGCTATTATTTTGAAAGAGAAACGAGGCCAGGGGCCATGTACATAGGGACCGGTGGTTGAGAAGGTAGTAAAGGAATATTCCAGGTTTAGTTTGCTGCTCTCTGGAAAACTTCTTGAGGATAAGTTAGGTGGATATGTCTCTGTTTTGGTACTGGTCTGAAAAAATAGTTCTGATTTTGTATTCCATGTGTTGTATGCTAAATACCTGAACAGTTATGAAGTTCACTTAAAGAAACCAAAACAGGTAGCTAAGTAAATCTTCTTTAAATAAGACTTTTCCGTAATTTTCTTAAAGCAGAATAGAGGGTTGGAAGAATAGCAGTAGTGAAGAAAAGGAGTAATAGATTTTAAAAATCCTTCTCAGGTGGTGTTGAGATCTGATTTTTTTCTCTAGTGCTAATTACTTTTAATTGATATTTTTATAGGACCAGCTTACACTGATCGATCATGGCATCCAACAAATTTGTCATTAAAGTAAGTAGACTGTTACATCTTTCATTTAAACAAACAAAAAAATCTGTAATACTGCTTAGAATGTGTTTATGTTGATTAAAAAAGTTAATGATGAAGAGATTCATCCTTTGGGTTTCTGGTCATAGCACATTTTGTATCAGTTTTTCTCTCATTGGAAGCAAACTTCTTGAACTGCTGCTGTATCATGGCACAGTGTGCCTGAGGTCAGCTGAAGATTAAAATCATGTAACTAAAAGTGATTAGTTGTGTAGTTTGAATTGGGAACTGCATGAATTCTCAGTAGAACAGTATCTTCTATCTGAAATAAAATTTTGGGTTGATACTTCTCTTACTGTAATCTTGCAATATTATTAGTGTATTTCCCAGATAAGAGTTCCTGGTTTAAGGTGTAGCAGTGTTCTTAAACTATCACACTTAGCTCTTTATTTGCATCTCTTTTTGGCTTGTTCTCCCGTTTTCAGGGATCAGTTGTTTTACATCCAGTAAAATGCCATTGCATTTTATTTTGCAAACAGTCTCTGACTTTTGGTTATGTATTGGAAGAGTAATGCTTTTTAAAACATTATGTAATAAACATAGCACTTCATAATTCTTCTACCATAACTATATCAGTCTATCAATAAATAAAACTAATTGTTCAGTAAAAATTGTGAAACCTCTTTGAGACCCTCTCTCTTGTTTCTGTGTTCCTGTATGTCAGGTGTAGTTTAGGCAATGTGTACATTTTGAAGTGATTAGTGCAATATATTATTCTCTTGGAAATTATTTGTCCAGGAATTTTCTTAACAGAAAAGACTTTTTTCTTCCTGGGTTTTTTGGAGGGCAGCTACAAAAACCTTCCTGACTGATCAGGCAGTGGAAGCTGCTGAAGCTTGATTTTGCACATAGCCAACCTGTTCAACAAGCAGACTAAACATTTTTTCTGTGCTGTATGGTCTTTTCCAAGGGAAACTGCTGTCATCTAGTGGGATGTTTGCTCTTTTAAGGCTTAACGTGATTTTAAACCTTAAAATGACAGTATCATGTTTATGCAATTCACTGCTTCTGAATTGGTAAAGGAGTTAGGAGAAATATCTTTGATTTTCAGCATGGTTTAACTGATATTCAAGTCTGTATGCCATGATGTGGGTAACAACAAGAGCTGAAGCTGAAGACATTGTTTTTCTCAGCTGAGAACTTTTGATATCATCAATTTTAATAAGTGGCCAAGAAAACAAGTGGTGTGAGTTGAAATACCTTCGCTAGATAAAAAAGGCTTAAGATATGTGGTTACTGACCTGCATTATTACAGCTTGCTTATTCGGTGTAGACACTTCATTGGTACTCAGCGCGTACCCTGGCAGTCACTAGGTAGTTTAATATCACTGAGTATCTGAGCAAACAGATAGGTTCTCACTGAGCATGCGTTTGTAGGTTAAGCAGGATCACCCATACAGCTTTAGACAGTGCCAGTGAGGTACAACTATATTTTCTTCCTGATAGTATTTGAGAAATGAGGATAAGTTTTTGCATGTACTGCGTGCTGAAAATTAACTTTGCCTTGACTCAAATGTGTCAAATACATAATGTAAGTATGTGAAAAGCTGATTAGAATTCACTTTGTACGCAGATGCGTAACATTTTCTTGTTAGATTGGGGATTTTGTGTGTGAATTTTTGCTGCTTTACATTCACTAGGTTTGCATTTAATGTATTCCCTTTTCTAAAGACTGTTCAACTTTCATGTAAATTTTTTGAGGAAGATCTATGTGCAGAAGATTGCTCGTTAAAAGGCAGAAAATATTCTCACTCCTCTCTGTAGGGGGAGTATAGAAAATACTATATTCAACTTTCAGGTTCCTTGTGTTTGAAACTGATAGTATTTTACCGAGTCTGAAAATGTTTCCATCGTGCCTCGTGTTCTACACTCTCTACTTTTAAGTTTTTAGATTTTGTAGGCACGTGTATGTTAATCTTTTTGGTGAGAGAGCAAAAAGTACAGCTTATCAGTCTGTCAATTCTTAGCTGACTGGAATGTAACTAAGGAAAACACCGATGATGTATTTAATGGCTTTGCTTCTTAACAATAGGTTTTTCTTATGAGCATCTCTGTACTTCCAATGTAATGGTCAGTTATTTTCAGTAGAGGGAGTAGTTGGACTATTTTTGAAAGGCGATCCTAAGCTTGGTTTTATGGGCAATTAAGAACCATTGAAATAAAATAATTGATGCAGTAAAATAGCTTTAAACCTTAATACAAAAGCTACAGTTAGGTCCTAAACACACTTTCTTCACTTGCCAAGTGGCTGGATGCCATGGTGTTGTGATGTGCAATAGATAATATTTTATGCAAATTAATTTGATCGGCAATTTTCAATTTTAGGAAATATTGATACTTCATGAAGTGCTGCATGGTAGAATACCCCCAGATCTGGAAAATAAGACATATGAATTTAATTAAGCTTTCTCTGTGTGTTGCTAAAATATTTTACTGCTGTTCTGAGAAATAAATCTTAACTTTAATTGGTGAGGCTTAAAGCAAAATCATGAACTCTATATGGATTTGAAAAATAATATCACTAGGGCCTTGTTTTAAACTTTGGACAAACTAGAAAGCATTGCTCTTCAGAATTGTGTAAAACGACTTTATTCATGCCAAACTGCAGAACTAAATATAGTAATTTTTATGGCTGTAATAGAAAAATTTCATTTACTGTTTTCTGCAATTCGTTCATTTGCCAAACACTGAAGACTTTAAGTTGTTACTATACTTCAATAGCTCAACTTAAAGGGAAGCTTTTCTTTGCCATTTCCTACTTTGAGAAATTAAGAGCTCTGTTCTGTCTCAGATTTGTAGGCCTTTGCTTGTACATATCTTAGATTAAGATAATTATAATTTCAGTGTTCCCTCTGGTCATCCAGCACACTCTGCAATCGATTTTTCAGCCGTGTTCCTTGTTTTCAATTTGAATTACTGCATGCTTGAAGTGTGTATGAAACTTTTTGGTCCTTCAAACATCTTGCGTGCTTTAAATTGCAAGTTCCTTTGAAGCAGTGAGCATATTTTATGCTGGGAACAAAGATGGAAGTGCTGGAAATTATTGGACAGAAAAATGACAGTATGACTGTAGAAAATCAGCAGTTTATTTTGAAAAGGCCTTTTTTGCTATTTCCATGTGTGTTTAAATATCTTAACAGATTTTAATGCTAAAGCTTCACCATATCTTTCCGGTGCTTGCTTTTTTTTTTTTTTAGCCACCAATTGAAATGTAATACAGCGATAGTATGTCGTCAAAGATCTTTTTTTTTTTAATCAGATATTGCTATATACACCTCTTTGGATGGTTCTTAGGTGACATCTAAGTGGGCAAGGCAGATTAAAATTTCAGTTTCTGTCAAGTGTGTCCATTGAATTATCTAATTAATATTTCTGTGAATATTTTGCTCTGTGAGAAAGTAGTATGTTTGCTTCTTCTTGCGAGTTGCTTGGGGAGGAGAAAAACTAGGGAGGTGAGTAGGTTTTCTTATCTAATTTTAAAATTTTTCTCTGATTCCATATAATGAGTAATGGAGGATAGTAAATGCATTTTCTTGCTATAAGTTTATAGATACATGAATGCAGTGCTCTCAAGTGGAGAGTAAAAATAAGGAATACCATTTGTGTTTAATATTTTTGGAGATTATGACTGCTCAGAGTTACTAGACTGATACTACAGATGCTTTTTTTACATACATAGTTTTGAACTGTTTAGTGTATTGATTTCTAGTTTGAAAGCTAGGATTTTTAGAGTGCTTAATTAAAATAACTAATAAAATCAGTACTTTCTGATGCCTGTTTCTTTTTTCCCATTGCAAAATGAAGACATTTTAATGTAAAATTCCTGTAGTTGAAGTACTTACAAATGTTTCAGAAGAAATACGCTAAGATTAAGTTTTCTGCAATCAGAATTTTTAAACGTTCTCCAAACTGATTAAAGGTTGTTGAATTTTACATGTACTGAATGTTCTTATATTTGCTTTTGTGGTCTTTAAAAATTAAGAAATACCTATATTAACTGTTTAATAGTGATTGTCTAGAGATGGAGTTTTCCTAAAGCAGCATTGCTCACAGCAATTATAAATACAGGTAGCTGGAATTGTTATTATCAAGTAGCATTCCACACTTCACTCAGCTGTGATGTTTGTTTCTATATGAATGGGTAAGATATGATACATGTCTAAAAGGGCTTAAATGTGTTAAGAAGGGAACTGGGGGAGAAATATGATTTAAAGTAGGAAGTAGAAAACAATAATAATGGATAGTTCTTAACTCTACATTTAATTCCTGATTTCATGGGACCAGATATGGAATGACTAAAATGATGAGTAAATAAGTTCCAGAAGAAAGAAAAAAGGAAGTTGGGAGGTAGAGGGGGGAGGAAAATTAAGTGTATGGTCTAATTCTATAAACCTCCTGGAGTCAATGGAAGTTTCCTCACTGACCTCAGAGGATTAATTTTCAAGCCTAGGGAAATGATGGGTGGATGAAGAGTTGAGAGATTAAAGTGTTAGCAGAAGGAGAAAGGAATAGGAAGCCAGAGGGGTAAACATCAATAGTAGAAACACTGCTTTCACGAGGATCACTCCAAATAAGGAATAAAAGAGTGGTTCTACTTGCATGACTTTTTTTTTTTGGTAATTCAAATAAAAAGTAATCTGATTACTTTTGAAAGTTCCAGTTGTGGCAGAAAATGAGGCTTTTGCTAATTGTGAGCTCTGTACTACTGTGACAGTGGTATGTCATTCTAAATATTCACCATACCAAGTGATGCTAAATTTTTTTTTAAACATGATTCATTCAGAGGTGTAATCTCCATGATAATTGTCACGTGCCTTGTTTCTGAACAGTGCTACCATATTTTATATCTCCACTGTTCTGCTTCTTGGAGATCTTGGTGGTACTGCCTGCTTGACCCCTGAGTCCAGCAGTGAGGGAGGAAGGGGTGGGAAACTTAGAAGCAGACTTCAATCTCTTTGAGTCCA